TTATTAAACAACTATCCGCGGCGTCTATGGTCATTGGATGTAACAGTAAATTATCTATTAGTATATTTACATATTACATTAATATTTAAAAAGATATACAAAGTAATTTAGTATTTAAAACAAGACAAAATCGTTCTATTATTTAGTACACTGAGTACATGTTTTGTCATTAAATATTATACAAGTACAATAATATGTACACAATGTACTATATTACAACACATTGACGCATTTTTTTTTTATACACAGGGGAGAATCAGATACTTTCATTGTGCGCCTTTATAATCACTTAGCAGATTGTTGTTATTCTACAAATTATGCCGTCATGACTCAAAACACACATATTAAGCGGTGAAGTCGCAGATGAACTTAATGTGTAAATAGTTGGATAAAAATTTGTTTTCTTTATCTTTCATGTTTAAAATGTATCAGCATATTAATGCTCTAGTAAATTTTATAATACAATATTAACATTTAATAATAGTACAGTGTGTGACATTATGTGAATAATGATATGATATACTAATGTATACACAACAAATCAAAATTTGGTTTTAGATATTATACAAACGCAATATGGCAGGGTAATTAAGTATAGATAATTATAATGAAGTTTGTCGATAAGAAATTTTAATATTGGAAATAATGACTGTTATGAGAATTTTATTGTGAGCTTGTTTAAAATTACAGTTAGTAGAGAGATTAAAGGATTCAATAATAATATTTTGAATTCGTCCAAAATTGTTGACGTTGATTCTGGATTGCTGGATGTTGGCTGGGCGGCTGCTATGCTGACAGATAATGGACCGGATGAGGGTGCATTGGATATATTGGTGCACATAAGCGTCGACGTGTGAGGACTTGATGTGTTTGGATTTTTAACTTTTTTGGTTTGATGTGGATTCTGTCAGTTTTGTAAATAATAAAACCTAAAAATATAAAATCAAACTGAATTATATAGAGAGATTATATGAAAAAGATGCATGCTTATTAATAGTTAAAACATCAAATTATTTGAAGAAAAATGACCAACCAGCTATTTACAAGCGTCTAATGTTGAAAATCAAACGTTGATTTAACTTCGATAGTTTACTACAATGATGCAGATCTAAAATTATTCCTTGCCACATAATTAATAGAAGAATACTATCTACATCTAATTAGGAACGTGAACTTTT